TGAAAAATAAAGTAATTTCATGTTACGTAAAGTATGCACTACGTAATATTTCTATCAGTTATTAATAAAAATCCAACGTATAGTTTCAACTAGGATGGCGTGGTATAGCAGTAGAGACCATGACGTCCATGAAATCACCCAGGTACTTGACTCACGTTGGGTAAAATAAAGGCGGCCGAGCATAGTGCTGAGCACACTATCCACTCTACTGCACCAGCCTAAGGATCATCAGATTCGAATCTTAACATAATCTTGAAGAAAAATCAAACTATGTTAGAGCCTTATATGGTGCTAAAAAGAAGATAATTTTTTACTATCATCCCACGCAACCTGTTTCCAAACTTTATCAAACCATCTACTAACAACTTAACATTGAACATGCAAGATGCCACTTCGTAAAATATCAACCTATTTTATCGTTAATAGAAGATCAATTTAACTTTCCAATATATGTAATGTCTTAGTTAAATTAAATATTATATGTAACTAATTATACTAAATTTTATTTCTTTAGTGTTACAAATTATTTAATTTATATAATTTATATAAAAAGTAACAAAGCGAATATTTAAAAGTGCATTTAAAAGTAACACAGATAATAGATTTCAAAAGTATAAAATATGTAAGTTAAACTAAAATTGCTATCTTTCAGTGCCTGACTGTCCGTTCATTGGTCGTCGCCCCCCCCCCCTCGATAAGCACGTCTACCCCCCCCCCCCCCTGCCCTCCCCATTTATCCAGGAACAAAATAATTTTTTTCTAGTCTCTGCCCACTTTGCCCCACACCCGTAAAATTTAGTCACCCGATCCCCCCAGTTTTCAGGTGTCCCCCGCCCCCCTCCCTTCGTACAAAATAGCCTGAAAGATACTTTGTTTTTCTAAATAAAAAAGGTTTGACTTCTGATATATTTAAAGGATTTTTTTTCTTTCTTCTAAATTGTATGACGATGAGCAGTGAAGTAAGGAAGTGGTGCTGTCTAGACAAGCGGCTACAGTGGTCGTGTGCGCATTTATCAAACTGTAACCACCTTTAGAGTCACTTAATCATTAACGACAATGCTACTTTAATAACAAAGGAAATGGGCAGGTAAAAATGGTTAAGCTAATGCTACGGCAATTAGCGAGGGTGGGGGGAGGAAAAAAAAGAAGAATTTCTCTTACGTGCAACAGGAAGTGTCAGTTAAGGTTGGGATTGTACATGACTATCTGTCACCTTACCTTCTGCCATGAAATCTATTTTTATCTTCTCCTTTGCCTGTTTCATGTTCATGTCCTACACGTAAGGCACGCTGGTCGTTTTTGTCTAATTTTGAGCCATAAATAGCTTGCATGCCTTCTTAACTACTCGAAAAGTTGAATACGTTACAGTAAGCACTGAATTTTTCGTTTAATTTACTTTGATAAACGATTGATCTTCATAGTTTACTATTGAAAAAATAATCCAGACAACAGTTTAAATCATATGATTTTGCACACCAACATATATAAAATATATAAAACACTTAGACTTTCTGAAAAATGATATCCATAACAATCCTTTATTTAAAACAAATGATTTATCGATACAAAAATACTTGTGGTTATTTTCTGAAAAGTGGAGCATTTTTGAAAACTTAAAATTTTGAATAAATCATATTTATCAAAGTTTATTTTTGGTCGGCACAAGATTTCTTTTCATGCAGAATTGAAACATAAAACTAGATTAGTGTTCAACATTAACCATTTCATGTAAGTTTACAACATGTATTGGCATTCTAAAAATCCACATTACTATACATAACGGTGATTAAAATGGATTCCCAGAAAGATTCGCAACAGAAAAATGCGCAACGGAAAAATGAGCAAAGAAAAATTTGCGCACACAGAAAAATTGGCAAACTGAATCGCGAGCACACAAAAATTGACAAACTGAATGGCGCGCACACAGAAAAATGCGCATAAAAGGTGCGCACACATAATTATGCGCAAAGAGAAAAGTGAGCAACAGACATACAAATACAAATACAAATACAAATACAAATACAAATACAAATACAAATACAAATACAAATACAAATACAAATACAAATACAAATACAAATACAAATACAAATACAAATACAAATACAAATACAAATACAAATACAAATACAAATACAAATACAAATACAAATACAAATACAAATACAAATACAAATACAAATACAAATACAAATACAAATACAAATACAAATACAAATACAAATACAAATACAAATACAAATACAAATACAAATACAAATACAAATACAAATACAAATACAAATACAAATACAAATACAAATACAAATACAAATACAAATACAAATACAAATACAAATACAAATACAAATACAAATACAAATACAAATACAAATACAAATACAAGTACAAGTACAAGTACAAGTACAAGTACAAGTACAAGTACAAGTACAAGCACAAGCACAAGCACAAGCACAAGCACATATACATAATATACATACACATACACATACGCATACGCATACGCATACGCATACGCATACACAGACACAGACACATACGCATACGCATACGCACACTTAGATATGCATGTTACACGCACACGTTACACGTACACGTACACGTTACACGTTACACGTTACACGTTACACGTTACACGTTACACGTTACACGTTACACGTTACACGTTACACGTTACACGTTACACGTTACACGTTACACGTTACACGTTATACGTATACGTACACGTACATATACATAGAATTTTTAAAATGTAGCTATAAATAATAAGAAAAATTTAAAAAATGCTATGTCGTGTGATTTAAATTATAATTTCAATAGTCAAGTACATTCAATTAAATAATTATAATTTGCCCTTTCGTTGGTGTTATTGTATTTTTACACTTATATTTCAATATTCATGCATACATTTCAACAAGGTCAATAATCGTACTAGTCACAAACTGAATTTATTCACAATATGCATCCTCTATATGCAAATTGTTTAGTCAATCGTCATTATATAATGTTATCAATAGTTATTATACAATGTTAAATCAAATATGAAAAGCTTAGATGGAGCCTCATTTGCACTAATAATTTCACAACACTTACCTAAAAAAACAGCAGTAATCAAACCAATTAAGTCCATAATGTATTTTCCGATCTTAGTTCATTAAATAGGATGATCGTATTTCATTCAATCTGTTAAAATGTTTTCAAAAGCATATAAAAGTAAAAGTAACTAATTTTTGTTTTAGAAAAGACGCGAAAAACATTACTTTTAAAACCTCTGAAATTTTTTTACCATTAAACTAGGCTACGTCCTTTAGAATTGTTTCTCTTAGCCTCACATGTCACCGTCTAACGCGGCTTCTGACATGCCTCATGTAGAAAGTGGCAGGATTACAACCACGTCGCATATTTTATGCGAAGGTGAGATGAGACCATTGGAAATGGGAATAGTTTGTAAATGTGAGATAATACCATCCTTAAAATGATATTTAATGCGATCTGGAGATAAAACTATTAGTTAAATTGTAATTTACTTATATATGAGTACATATTGGTAAAATTTATTTATGTAACCTTGAGATTAGACCATTTGGGACTTGTACAAAGCCAGAAGCAAATTAGCAGAAGACAATCATGTCTATTTACAGCAAATCATTCTTACAATTTTAAAAGAATTTCTTTATTACTGGATGAGACAGATAAATTTACTAACTTCTACGAACAGTGGTGGATTAAATTTGGAGGGCTGGAAGGTCAGCAGCTTTTGGGCCCCAATTTCCATGGGAATCCAAATTTCTTTTAAGAACTAATGGAGATTCTCTTAATTGCCCCTTCGGGCCTTGAGATCGGCCTTTTCTTTAAAAAAAAACAGTGTTGGAGGCGCAGACGAGCTTGGGATCCTAACGAGACTGGGTTACCGACCACAACTTTCTTTGCGTTGTGAATTCCATTTGTAAATCCCCAAACGGCAGCTTTCAATCCATTTATGAGGTTAATATACACATTCGAGCTGTCATTCGATTTTGTGTGTTGAGGAGTTGCAGGGCTCATGTGGCCAAAATTCGAAATCACAACACAAAAAATACTGCATGAACCTTGTAAAACATTCGACACTGGTTGTCTTTTGAAAATAAAATTCTATGTACATATACGGCAATTGAAAGTTACATTTGGATAGAAATATGGAACTTAACCCCTTAATGCCTGAATTATGTTCCAAGCGTGTAAAAAGTTATTTGTGCTGATTTTCTCTCATCATACTGACACTGAATTTGTGATATATATTTGTTTTTAAATTTAGACTTATTTTTGATGCTAATTACGGTATGTCGCGAAAACGCGACATCAGGCACTTATGGACCAAATAGTAATTTTTTTTTGAGTCCGGGTCATTTTACTGTATTTACTGTCACGTATTTCTCTAAATATCCACGCACAAACAATAGAATATCACAAACTGAACATACGGAAATGCAAGGAGATGTAGAATCACTTGCAAAATTCATGAAAACTATACTTTACGAGAAAAATGGCCCGTTGAGGAAGGGTACAACGGGCGCTAGGCTGATAGTGCTGTCTCTTTTCTCTAAACTAAAACCAACCCACCCCCCCCACACACCACCCCCACGCCACCCCCCACCCCCACACACCACCCCCACCCCCACCCCCCACCACACACCACCCCCACCCCTCACCCCCACACACCACCCCCTCCACACACCGCTCCCCCCCCCCACCCCCCCCCCCCCCAAAAAAAAACATGTCTACCGTCCCATTCAACGAAATATAATTATATACTTTTTCCAGTGTCCGCCCCCTCCCAGAAAATTCTACCCCCGCCCCCGAAAATTTTAAGTACCCCCACCCCTCTCCGGGGAGGAAAAAGTCTGAAAGAAACACTGAAACCAACCCCCCCCCACACACACCACCCCCCCCCCCCCACCCCCACACACCACCACCCCACCCCCCCCCCACCCCACCCCCCCCCCCCAAAAAAAAAACATGTCTACCGTCCCATTGCAAGAAAACCACTTTTTAGATTAGACACATTAATTAGGCGGTAATTTTATTATAGAGTATCGATGAGGAAATTTCTTTTGAGTTGGGGAGGGGGGGCTCAGACGTTCTTACGCGGGGGGTGGGGCTTCGCCCCTATCCGAAGAATTGTATGCAAGAAACTCTTCACGCAAACCATTTAGATTAGACAAAATTTCCTTTTTATTCAATGTTTACGCGATAATCAATGACGTCATTATATTACTGTGTGCACTTTCCGCCTTGAGATTATTTTCAACTCTATGCTAAATGTGTCGACGTCATACTTCGTTTTTCGAAATACTATGCATGTTTTTAATTTCCTTGTGTTTTCTCTAGAGCGTTCTTGTCAGACAGAGCGTTCTTGTCAGACAGACAGCGAAATATTATTATAGAGACAGAGCGTTCTTGTCAGACAGAGCGTTCTTGTCAGACAGACAGCGAAACTATTATTATAGATTAGCTCAGGCATAGAGTTACATCTCTGCTGCACCTGCTCACTGACTAACTCTTATGCACGGGTATTTTGAAGCCTTGCTGTTGTGGTTCTACTACACTACAGTAACACACTACATATGAAAGGACTTCCTTCAATGTTCCTTAGTTGTCCCCGGTTACGTCATTTTCGAGAACTCTTATTCAAGGTCAACTAATAAAGACGCATATTTCTCATTTGACCTATATTTGCTATACATACAAAGCATGTGAACAAATACTGTCCTAAATGACAGTGTTCAGCCATTGTATATTCGTCCATGCTCAATGCAGCTGCTGTGGGTACTTAGTGTCACTGGTGTGGGTACTCAGTGCCACCGTTATGGGTACTCACTGTTATTGTTGATCAGAGTTTCTTCCAGGCATCTCTTCGGGGAACGAAATGAAATTTATATAATTTATATAGAAAATATATACTTTTAACAGTGTCCGCCCCCCCCCCCCCCCGTAGAAAGTCTACCGCCCCCCCGCCCCCCCCCCCCGAAAATTTCAAGTGCCCCCCCCCCCCCCCCCCCGGAGAAAAAAAAAAGTCTGGAAGAAACACTGTTGTTGATGGTTTCCGATTCGTGCTACGGCTATTGTGCTCGACTGATTCTGCTATTGATAACCAATAACAGTGCTGTAGCTACATATTGCTACTGGTATGGGTACTCAATGCTGAAACAGTGGGTACTGAGTGTTGAAGCCATGTGTACTGAGTGCTGAAGCTGCGGGTACTCACTGTTGAAGCTGTGGGTACTCAGTGTTACTGCAGTCGATTCTTGGTGTCACTGCTGTGGGTACTCAGCACTGGAGCTGTTGGTAATCGATAACGTTGATGTGGGTACTCAGCCTTAGCAGTGGGTACTCAGTATCACTGCTATGAGTGCTTAGTGCTCAAACTGTGGTAGCTCAGTGTCAGTGATGTTGGTACTCAGTGCTGAAGATGTGGGTACTCAATAACACTGCTGTCGGTACTAAATACCAGTATAATGTCACTAATGTGGGTTTTCAATAGCAAAGGGTATTTTTGTCAGTATTCAACCTTACTGTATTTATCACGAGGTTTAGGTCTATGCTCAGTGTTATTATTGTCAAGGTCATTGTGAAGACCTTTCTTTTGTGGTATCCAGGATACTATTTCAAAGCTAATTCGTTATATTGTACCCAGAAACATGATCACATTATTCCAGCATCGCTCTCTCTCCATATGCCAAGGTCAATGAAACAGGTGCTCTACTTCGCCTACCACATGGACCGCGTAACGTTCTAAAGTGCTTATATTTAAAGGCGAAGACTATATTGTAAATCCTTTACGTATTTATAATCATACTTGAATAAATGACAGCTTGGCGATGCATCGTATTTCGTTATACCTGCTTGGCACCCAAGTTCCATTTTATGTCTTAATGCCGGATGGCGCGAAAACGCGACAAACCGTAATTAGCAGATAATTTCCAAAATTATTCTCATATGTGATTTATATTGTTTATATACATAAAAGAGTGAATAATAAAGCTATTAGTATTTTTTGTAGCAAAAAAACGGATCCCCTATTTAGTAATAATAATCAATGTAAGTAGGTTGAATTCATAAAGTCAAAAAAATTACGATACGCGTGAGTCAAGAGAGTGTGACGTCATAAATTTCGACTTGACAACGTGACCGTTTGTACCGATAAAACCGTCTGGATGTACCCGATACACAACGACCGGCAGCAGTAGGATAAATGTACCTATGCGAAAACGCGACTGTCGACGTTAAGGGAATAAACCTAAACATTTTTACTTTTTATTTTTTCCCTCCGAATGAAAATTTACCGTAGACATTATCTATATATATAATTCTCTTCTTGGAGACACTAGAAAACAAGATGTAAGCGCGCTCCCTACCACCCCACCCCTACATGGTCTGGCGAGCTTTGGTTCACGCTAAATGTTTACAATCGTAAAGCCGAGTTTAGTTACGGCTACTAGGGGCAGATAATTTAGTTTGAAACGATTTTAAACTTAGGGGAGGTAACTAAGAGGATGGGGAGATCGTTACGACATTGTATATAGTTAATGTAATATAATCAGTTATCAATTATTACGTAGTACTTTTAATGATGGCGATATCACATTTTTATACCCCCCTATGGACAGCGCCCTAGACGACTGCCTAGTTCGCCTTATAGGTAGCGCCGGCCCTGTACATGGTCACGAATATTTTTTATCATACTTCTAAAATGTAAAGTAAATAAATATAATTAATTGATTTTTTTGTTCAAAGTTCGTAATAGTGCAAATAGAATGGTGTTGAACTGTTAATAAAAAAAAAATATAAATCATTACTTTAGATCAGTGGTTCCCAACCTTTTTCGAGTGGCGACCCCCTATTATAAAAAGTAAGTGACACGCGACCCCCATAGAATTAAAAAGCCGAAATTAGTATGGAAAGTAATAAGCTAAAATAAGATTTTCTAGTAGACTTTCAATATGAACTCTGGCAACATCAAGGGAAGAAGAGAATGGGTAATGCTTAAATGCAGATTCTTCTTTTTTCAGCTCAGTGAAATAGCGATGCAGTTCGTTTTCAAGAGATTCAAGATGCCCAGAAATCGCTTCTTTCAAAATTTTAATTATCTCACAATCAGATCTATCAACCACACCTCAGATTTTCTCAAATTTACAATATTTCCAAGATTTATTTTCTTTACCGATTTTGCAGCTCATGGAAAGTTATAATATTCGTTCATTTTCCCTGAATCTTCAGGTTAAGCTTATCTTGATGTTAGAACACATCTACTAGGTATGATTCTCCAACCACTCTATGTCGTTTTAAGTATACCAAAAAGTCTTGTTCCCTTTTAATTCCAAGAACAATTTGAT